CATCTTGTTAGTATTTTGGCAAGCTCAGAAAAATCAAAAAGTAATAGAATTGTTTGCCGGTATTGATATATCACTTCACATTGGTGTCAATCAGAATTTTTATAAGGCATCATTATTTCAATGTAAGAAGTTATTTCTTACATATGTTTTTTTTTGTCTTGCCTTAATCGCAATATACATTTATTACTTTATGCAAAATGCAATTGTTGGCAATGTAGCATTTCTTATTGTTTACGCCGAAAGGAAAATTGAAATAATGGTCTATTGTCAATTTTTATTTATGATAAAACAAAGATTGTTTCTAATTCGTGACTATTTAAGTAAACTAAGATTTTATCGACAACATGCAATGTTTATGCAAAATTCAGAACCCAATGTGGATGTTAATTTTATTGGACATATTTCTAATAATAATTTCAGAATTCGTGACTTGATTTCTTTGTATTGCAAAATAGGAAAACTGTGCAACATAATTAATGACATTTTCAATTACTTAATGTTAATGACACTATCTATTGCTTTCTTTGTTATTTTGTCAAATGTCTGGGTCTCTTTATACTTTTTAAAATTCATTCACATTTTCGGTTCTGTGCCGTTGGTGTTAAGTATCCTTTTCGAATTGTTTTTTGTCATCCTCCTCGCATATTATTGTGCAAATGTTACTATTGCCAGAAATGAGCTAAAATATACTCTGTACGAAATCACAAAGAACAACGACTTACCATTGTCTATGAGAATTCAAGCGGAGGTATTTTTGGATTTAATCAAAGTGTGGCCCATGTCCATTTACGTTTTTAATATGTTTGAAATGAACTTAAAATTAGTTCTCAAATTTATTAGTATTACCTCCACCTATGTTATTATTGTCGTACAAATTAATCACCTATTTTATTCTAATTAAATTAGGTACATAATTATTAAGCTAAATCTTTCTCTACCTTTGCGCTTTCCTGTATATTTCGTGAATGTGAGTTGCGTTTTTGTAAAGCTTTTGCACCGATGTTGTGGCAATGGAAGAAATGTCGTTAAACATTTGTTTTAATTAAGTGTTTTATATTCTTAAGTAATACACCCTGTATTGTAGAAGTAAGTATTAAAGATATTTTTTATATTCACTAGAAACATTTCAAATAAGCTCCTAGAGCTTGTAACTAGTGTAATAGACTACGGTTCACGACAATATAGTTGAATGACGTTAACAGAAATCACTGTAAATTGGCGGTTGCAAAATAAGATTAAAAATTCCATGACCATGGTATGTTTCATAAAACATTGTAATTTAATAAACAAAAACTATGGTTTCAATATAAATAAAGTATGTTAAAGACTTTTCGATGTTTTTGAATATATGTAACAATAAGCAAACTTTAAAGCATCGGAAAAATGTGAAATGGTTGCAACTATGTACTTTTTTTTTCCTTAAAGTCTTTAAGGAACATGTTTCCTTACATATAAGTTCCGTCCCGACAAATATACTTAATTTCCCATCCTCTTGTTATAGTAGAGGGTAACAATAACCAAATAATAATATAGTGGTAGATCATTTTGATAGATATCACTACAATTACTAAGATACTACTATGGATGTCACAGCCATGTTATGCTTTAATAAAATATAGCCTTCTTTACCTCTCATGTTTTCTTCCAATTTGCACAGAATAACCTTACCAATATGGCCGTCGTGTCGTCGATCTAATGCAACACCCTTATTTTTGACATCCGACTACTATCGGATTATTAACTTAACAAGCAGAAATACGACATTTTAAAACCATGACATAAATATTTAAATAATGTTTAGGGTCACAATTACAAAGCTTATATCGTTATGTTAAATTATGGCAAATGGCATTGATTTATAGCACATACTAAATAACCTTCAAGAATACAGATACAATTACTAAGTGGTTAAAACATTTAGTGCCGATCGCTCGGATCCGAGTGAGCATTCTTTTCACATTGTAATCGGTAGAGTTTGTCGGTTTTATGTTGATAAGATTGACAGTTGACAAATATAAAGTATCGAATTAATACAGCTGACGCGCAGACTAATTCGTGGTCCTTCGTTATCTATCGAACAGTGGCTCCGATTTTGACAAGGCTTTGACGAGAAGGAAGCCGATGCAGGCAGGTAATTATACCTAGGTATTAGTATTTATGTTTAGATAATTTCTTTACTGATTTAAAAAAAACTTTGGCCAATAGTGAAAAACAATTCACATAATTTTAAGGTAGTGACTATTAAGTAATTCGCCTCAAAGCCGATAAATAATTAATAACGCTGATAACATCAAAGTGTATTACTACAAACTAATGTTATTTTGTGAAAATTTCTATCTACTAGAAATAAATTAAAACGGTCGTACTTTCATATTTCATGGCACATTACATTCAAACACGTTGATGAACAGATATTTTCATTCACACGTTTTGTATTAAAAGTCGTGTTAAAAATGAGTGTTAACCAACGTTCAGCTGTTGATATAATTGGCAATCGTATAGTAAATTGTATGAAACCTTTGTTATACGTTGAATATTGTTTTGGAATATTTAGATACCGGCTGGACGAACGTTCTTCAGAAGTCATTAATTTGCGAATGAAAATAATATGTGTAGCCATCGCTTCGGCATGGATAGCAATTTTTTGCTGCTCCATGCCATTTATTAATGTGACATTTAACAATATGGTCGCACTAGCAGATTATTGGATGTCCTATTTGATCGTGATTACATATGCATGTTCCGTGCTTATGTTAGTCCTATGGCAATCCCAAGATAATCGAAAAGTGATTGAAATCTTCGCCGTTATTGATATATCTCTTCATGCAAACATTGACCAAAAAGTTTACAATTTGTTGTCACGTCAATGTAAAATATTGTTTACGGCACATATAACATTTTGTATTATTTGCATCGTTATTTACTCATATTTTTGTATGTACGATAACAAAATTGCTTACTTATTTTTTTCACTCATTTATTTCGAAAGAAAAATTGAAATATGTGTATTTTGTCTATTTTTATACATGCTTAAGCAAAGAATATTGTTAATTAATAATTACTTAAGCAAGTTTTCAGGCGATCAAGATAATGTATTATTAAGACAAGGTAAGGTAAAACGATTGGAAATCGATTTCATTGGAAAAATTTCCAATACAAATAACAAAGTACGCGACTTAGCATCTGTTTATTGCAAAATAGGAAAGGTTTGCTTATTAATTAACAAGATTTATAATAGCTTAATATTTATGACAATCGTAACAACATTTATTTTTATTATTGTACTGTCATGGAGCATCTTATACAGTTATAAAGTTAATGATGATGATTTAATATTTTCATTATCGATGTCATTTTATGTATTTTCAGATTTATTTTCAATAATGTTTATATCATACTATAGTGAGAGTATTTCCTTAGTTAATGATAAATTAAAAAATATGCTCAACAGGATTTTAACTCACAACGACCTTCCAATATTTATGATGAGACAAGTAAATGTTTTTGTAAAGTTAATAAGAGTATGGGATTTGAAAATTAATGTTTTCGATATGATAGACGTTAACATAATTTTAGTTCTTAAATTTATAAGTATGTGTACATCTTACTTGATTGTTTTAATTCAAATTAATCGTTTAATATAGTTAATTTTTAGATTATCGTGTAAGTTGACATTGTGCTTAAACAAAACTTTATCAGTTTTATATAAATTCACATTTTTACTTCATACACTGTGTATGTTTCACTTTTATTGCACAAATGTATTAGATTATAACACAATAAATAACATATTGGATATATTAAGTGTTTTGTAATTTTGAAAAAAAATCTCGAAATAATAACTAACACCTGTTTTAATTAATCATGGTACATATACAATCTTCCAATTTCATTACTGCCGCCATAATGGACGCAAAGTAAAATTTCCTTTGGCGACATCGCTCGATTTTAAAACTTACTTAAATAACTAGAATAATAGCTACTGGTTTTAATCGATAAAAAGAATTTATAATAAAAAAACAAACTGTGCCAATAATCATTAGGAAATAGTGGGAACAAATAATAAAACAATATTTTTTCATCATTTTCAATTGAAATAGTTACAGGAATTAAGTTACATAAATAAAATTAAATTAACCTTTATTCAGATATTACCATTATTAAGAAGTTATATGTCACCTTCTTTATTTTATACACTAGCTTTCGCCGGCGACTCTATCCACGTGGACTTAAAAAAAAAACAAATTTCATCAAGATCCGTTCAGCCGTTTAGGCTACAACCTCTAACAAACATCCATCCATCCATCCATCTAAGCTTTCGCATTTATAATATTAGTATTAGTAAGATTATTATCGGTTTGTACTCAAGGACATAAGCCTCTTCTTACTTTCTGGATTATTCTCTTTGTGTTGGCGTTTTGGTTCAAGTATGTCCCGCTTGTTGCCTTTATTACGCACATATTTTAATTGGCCTCCCACGCCACTTTTTGCCACTTTAAGGATAAATAATCATACTAATATTATAAATGCGAAAGTTTAAATGAATGGATGGATGGATGTTACAGTTTGTAGCCTAAACGGCTGAACGAATCTCGATGAGATTTGACACAGATGTACAGGATAGCCTGGAAGAACACATAGGCTACTCACTTTTGTTTTTTTATTACCAGGCGGACAGAATCGCGCGCGAAAGCTAGTAAATAAATTTATTTTATATATAATTTCGTTCATTAATTTGCAAAAAAAATACAGGTTACAATAATTAGATCTTAGTATAAACATTTTCAAATGTACCAGTAGGTACTTGTTAAGTTAATAACTAAGCAATTAGCAGTTTAATGTATAGTAACTTATCTTTAATACATAAAAAAGGAAACTTATATGTATTTCTTTACTTGCTTCTGGAAACTAAAACATTATATAATGCAAAAAACCTTAAATCTTCTACTTTTAGGTTGTTAATTATTTTACTTTATTTGTTTAGTTACTTAAATAACAATTTATTGAGTTACTTGGATAACAACAATCAAATATGATGCGCACAAGCTTATAACTTTAAAGATACTTAGTACGTCCGCACTAAACATGTCGTAAATAAAAACTCTTAATGGCCAAATATTTAAGGTTTCCATAAACACCTTCGCCTGCATCCTCATACCTTTCGGTAGTTCATAATCCATAACGAGTTTGTTAACAAGAAATTTCGTTTTTTCTTTTGCCTGTAGAAGTTTTTCACAATTTATACACAACATTATCATTGCAACAACTTGGCTACAACTCCAAACGACTATTTTCAATAAATATCTAAATGTTTTGTTAGATTTATAATAGTACAACGATGTCCAAAATGTTGTTATTATGAATAGAAATGTTGATATGAAAGTTGTTAATATTACCAAATTAAATATACTATTTATTAATTTACATACTTCGCCGATCTGATAGTATGTTACCGTCAAATCACGAATTTTCATATTATCAGCAGAAGCGCGTCCAATATAGTTAACGCAATTTTCAATAACAAAGATAGTATTAGCTTTGTCAAGTTTAAAGGTTTTATTATAAAGTCGTTGAGATGTACACTTAGATAGAAATCGGTTTATTATTGCCACGCGTTTTTGAAGCATTCCGATCAATACATAAAAGTAGACGATTTCTAATTCACTTTCGAGATATATTAAAAGGGTTATATAATATACAATCTTAATATCCACTTCATTAAATATATTGAATATTGTCATAGCCACGTACGAAATACCGAGAACATTTAAAATCTTAATTATTTCCACTCGCGAGTTCTTATATAAACTATCATCCATATTGACATGTAAAGAACAATCGATATTCTCAAGCGATGTGAATAAATTAATAAAATCGTAATCATCGACAAATAATTGTACAACTATTGTTACTGTGTACTGTAAAAAAATTATTAAACTTGGTAAAATTTCAGCGGCTCTAGTAGTAATGTTACCTTCGGTAACGTAAGTGATTGTCTGCGTTAAATAAAATATAGCAATTATTAAATAAATCAGAAATCCAATAAATCGCATTCTTCGCCTAGCTGGTACACACGATTCTCCGTTGAGGCGAAATCGGAAAATACCCAAACATTTTTCTAATGAAGTTATAGGTTTCACAGCAAATAATATGCGGTTTAAAGTGTTTATATTCGATGACAATGTATTCATTTTGTTGTAGTATTTTACTGGACACTGTTTCTTATCGCAAAGCTTTTAACATATTACATCGAGAATTGAGAAAATTGTGTATTTATTTGTTACGCTCTAATTTATGTAACATAAAATATTTATCAACATAATTCCGACCATTAGTACTATATGATTTGTTCATTTATGCATAATGCTTACATATTTTATAATACATTAGAATAAATTTCTGGATTTTTGATTTTTCCCTTGTCTATAGACTAACCGTTTACCCAGATGTTGACATAATAAATTTATTTATTACATATCTAGCTTTCGCCCGCAACTCCTTCCACGTAAAAAAAAATGTGAGTAGCCTATGTGTTCTTCCAGACATCCTCTACATCTCTACCAAATTTCTATAAAATCCGTTTAGCTATTTAGGCTACAAACTCTAACAAACATCAATCCATTCATCCATCTAAATGTTCGCATTTATATTAGTGTGATTAATATATTGTTAATATGTTTATACCGTTCTTTGATGACTAGTTACCAATATTGTCCCTACGTTGCTATACAATTTGTTGTTCGATATTTTTAAGGACAAAGTCATTATTTTTATGTGAAACCTAGAAAATTAAGTCATATATTAAAGAGCCTTCAGGAACTACATAATTTATTTATATGACCAATCCACTCAAGTTATTACAGTCCCTATTAAATTGACTTCAATATCATTCTATCGATAGCAGTTAATTTTATATTATAGATGATTTATTGACCCAAATTATATATTGACTGTAGGTAATAAATTCAGGAACAACTCCAATATAATCGATAAAATATATAGCTCACGTGTTAAAAAATTGTTTCAAAGACATGTTTACGCTGCAGTTAGAACCGAGTACCAAACTATGAATGCAATAAGAATAATAATGAACGAAAGTTTTCCGTATTGCCTACTAAATTAGATTGGATCCCAAAATCGTCGGCAATATGTACTTAGCTGATAACGAGATTACACTTGATGCGAGCGCGAGGTCGCGAGCGGAGCCCGGCGATGCGATTATCCTTAAGAAAAAACCTCATAACTATGTAGTAAATAATCAAAGGCAATAGTTATGTACAACTAAATATTTGCGTGTCCTTTTTCTTTCTAGTAAAACTAGGAAACTTAATTATTATAGTGATAAGGAGAGCCTCATAAAAGTTAATGTCAAATATTAAAATCTGGAAATAACGTTATTTTCAAAAATAAATTTAAAGAAACTTGTTACAAGAACTTATGGAATAATATATTTGTAACATTATCCTCAAAAACATATCTTTTGTTTTTCATATCTGGTTTTTATGGGCAAACCTATTCGATATCAAATATTTATGTTACAAATTCTGAACGCGTTCGCTCGTAAAAATGTTCAGCGGCCCAATAAAGGCGTCACACAAGTATCGTGTGATATTTCTACTTGATCAATAGATAACTGGTATACTGTAGAACAAGACAGGAATACTTCTGACTCGTTTCTCTCTATAGTCGCGGTAGTAAAATTATTACAACATTGTCTAGTTCCACGATTCTCTGTCCATCCTCAGGCTGCCCTTTTGAATTTACTTCCTTCTTATGCATTTCCTCGTTCACACAATCCATTTAAATTCCTTAACTTCTCTCAATACAGCAATATCTTAATAATCTTCTTATTGTCTTTCTTATATTGTAAATGTGAAATTGAAAATGGATGGATGTTTGTTAGAATTTGTAACCTAAACTGCTTAATGGATCTCGATGAAATTTACCATAAATGTAGAGGATAGTCTGGAAGGACACATATACTTTCTTTTGTTTTTGATTTAATTCCACGCGGACGGAGTAACGGGCGGCAGCTAGTTTGTTCATCAATGCCAAAAATGTAACGGCAAAACTATAAAAGAATCAAGAGGCCGGTATAAAGTAATGTAACAGCGTCTAACTGAGAAACGATACAGGTCATTCACCTCGCCTTCATTTCCAACCTTAAGTGCCTGTTTTCAAAAATGTTTAAATATAAATTCTTTAGCCGAATGTGGCAATTTTGTTAGCATGATTAAATAAAAAAAACTAAACCACTGGCTGACATAAATAAAATAAACAAACGCGGATATAAACGTATTTACTGTTGTAGTTCGAATTTGGAATGTCATATATCCGGTTACGATGATGACGTAGCCTGTAAGATAGATAGGTTATCTAACATACCATTCACTCAGTAGGTAATTACCTCGATTACCGTTTTTTAGAACCGCATCGTAAGCGGCTCGTTGGTCTAGGGGTATGATTCTCGCTTTGGGTGCGAGAGGTCCCGGGTTCAAATCCCGGACGAGCCCAATTTTTTTTTTTATTAAAAACGAAGTGCCTATATAAAATGAAACAGTACTTTTATTAAACTACTCTATTTTTTTTACCTTTTCGGTTATGAGTTTTTCAATAAAGTTAACACACAAGCCTAGGAGATTATATTATCGCCTGCCTTGGCAATTTTTTTTTTCATTTTTAACATAAGTTAACTTTCACTTCTAAATTTCAAGTAATAAAAATTGGTCTACATTTCAAATCAATCAGTCAGCTGGCTCGTTGGTCTAGGGGTATGATTTTCGCTTAGGGTGCGAGAGGTCCCGGGTTCAAATCCCGGACGAGCCCAATTTTTTACCTGTCAAGGTACAAGTGTAGGAAGTACTTTTTTTTAATTTGCTCCATCGTAGTGAAGAAAATTTTTATATCATAAAATTATTTTAAAACGTATTTCGTTTTGATAACATTTTAGAGAAAATATCTACTACATCATATGGGAAGCCTGACTTGATTAACCAAGGCCTAACTTGTCTAGGGCCTCACTACTGTAGAAAGCCTTTACGAGGTAATTTAGTAGCTGACGTGACCCTAGAAGTTGCTAATTATTAACTGTTATAATATAGGGTTCAGTCAACGCAACATGTTTTCTGAGCAAAGTCATGATAAATTGTGCCCGATATTTATATTTTGTCTTAAATATTCCTCATTACAAATTCCAAGCACGTATTCCGTTATCTTCTCGACTAAATATGTTCGTTTTCCTTCGGGTTATGTTTATAGAAACTGTTTTTGATTCTTAAATCTACTCTAGCTATAGTTTGCTTAGTGATTTTTAAACTTGTGTTTAAAACAAATGTAGTTAGTATCATTAATAATAAAATCTTAACAGTATTTAATACCCTAGATGCGACAGTTATGTACGTTTTTTTCTTTTGAAAATTGTAAAAAAAAATTAAACATTAAAAGTAAATTAAAGTTTTTTAATAAGTACGTGTTTACGCGAGGCCCGCTTGGAGCGAGGTGGCAGCGTGCGGGGCGCGGGAGGATTGTAAAGCCACCAATTGCAAGCGCGCTGTTTAATTTTAGTTCCACCGCGAGCTAAAATGAAAAACTTTTACATATCAATTTTCCAAAAGTACGTATTAATGTAGGTATTTTATAACATTTCTTTAAATTTTCTAATGTACAAAAATACTGATACCAGCACATTATTTGATATTCTAGATTTGATCATTTCTTCCCTGTCTAATCTTTGCTCAATTTATTGGCAGCTGCACTCTGTCTTTGCATGATTTACTAACAATACTTGCCACCGCAGTATAATATTAACAATTAACTCATAAGCGCTTCATTCTTTGAACTTTCCGTATTCAAGTCACGTAATTACTTAACTCTGAGCACGATCCTTAACTCGTAGCTTCGCGGACGTGTTAGTGTAGAATGTAAATTACGTAAATATTTGCTTATATTGCGTGGTACTGGTGTGCGTCACAGTTACTAAGTAAGCATATTACACTATATTGTATCAAACCATTATTCCTAACCTAAAAATAAAGACCGTTAGTAACGTGGTAGTATTTTTGCTGTAGTTGTTTTTTTAAGTAGTTTTTTTATAAAACGTTTATTAGCAAAGAATAAAAAAATTATAGACAGAATATATTGTACCAATCATTCTACCTAAATATACTTTTATTACATTAAACGATCTTGATAATAAGAAAAGAATTTTGTTCTGAAAGTTTTTATATGAAAGAGCACGTAGTAAGAAAAGATTGAAGAACTTTTGCCCGACCGAAAGAATCTCATCAATCTTAAAAGTTCTAATCTCTAATCTAAGCGATGAATTGCAAAAGTTTGAGAGAACAATTCACTGTATGGATTCTAATGCCGTGTTATGATGTACGCTGGGAAATTGATCAATGTGTTTACAAAAACATTTATTACATCGTGTATAAAAAATATGTGTAAGAAATAACCGCCTATAAAACATATGTTTCGCAAGAAATATCAGTTTAAATAATAATAGACCGACGTAAAGTGTGTCTACATAATATATACTCCATTTTGAACTTATGTAGATCTGAAAATCCCAACAATGCTTTGTAGTATCTATAGAATTTGTATATTATTTTAGACAACAATTTAATCT